GTTATTGACAAAATATGTGACGTTTGTCGTTTCTTAGAGCAATAAATGGAGATAATAGCTCACCAAAGCTTAATTAGTTGATTGACTTAAAAAACTTACAGAGTTAGAAATTGATTCGTTGGATATAAGTGTTCGCTGTTTTCGTCGCCAATATAACAAAATCATTATTTGAATAACAATGAAGAATCTTAAGTGTTAGACTTTAGGGATCATAGTCACGCGAAATATGGTAACAGACTGGTCGTTATTGTTAACCCGCGTGGGAAAAGGAGGATTTTGTAGGGAAGGCCGACTTTATGCGTTCGATGACCTAAAGACACAACTGGTATCGGCATACCCTGTCGACCTTATCGCTTAAGGAAATGCTTGCAATACGCCTATTTGACTCGAAAATAACTACATCATGAAAAAGAAATATCTTCATATACAACTGTGTTCACTGCGATCTTTAACTGCAACCCACATTGTAATAATAATACTTCTATTTAATGTTTTTTGAACACGGGCATAATAGTTCTGAATAGTACTCGGATTAACCGTTTCCTAAATATTGACGGGTTAATACCTAAAAGCTGATAAGAAATGTTTTTGTTATTAACCAGCTGTTTCAGACTTCCCTTAGGGCTCTTCGAAATCTTTGGGAAATAATATAGAATAAAGGAAAACACACAGAGTGATATAATTTCAATGCCAAACATTTTTTTTTTTGCGGAATGATAACCTAAAACACCTCCGTCGAAGTTGTCTATCGTGTTTGATATGTTTGCTTTAATATTGCTTTCGTAATGAATTTGGTATATTTTATGCAAGCATTCGAAAGACTAAAAATTGTCTTCCTCTTTTCCCCTAATCACTACGTGATCGTACTTTAATACAGTTTTTTGTTAATATATATTTTTTTTATTTTTGCGTAGGGTATGAATACTCGGATACACGCGGCAGGCATACTGATTTCAAATAGCTCGTTTTATTTTTTTTTTTCCTAAACACGGGATTTCAAATAGATTCGCAAAATTTGTGGCAAAATTAAAATCGGAATTGCTGCTGAAGTTTGCTTACCCTGCATTTTCATCGTGAAATTAAACGCTGTTTTAAACCAGTCAGAGCCGTTTATTTAGAACCACCATCATGACCAGCTCCTTGTAATTTCGAAAGGTTGCTATCTTTGTGCAATATAAGCTTGTTTTGTCCATATTTCCAAAGCCTTATCACAATGCAAAGACAACTGAAAAACCCATTTGGCGATGCGCATAAATTTAATTAATTCCTTCTTTCCCACCCATCCCCTTCGATTAAATCCTAAACCTTTAGATAAACGCGAGAATCTTAAATGCTGCAACTGCGTTTATATATAGTTAAAAGCACCTGTCGACCGTTGGCGATAAAAACAAATCCCTTAAAGACATGCTTGCAAAAGCAAAAAAATGATGCGACGATAGGCGACTCGACCACAAAAGCCTTCACCGTCCAAACTTTACTCGAAGCGAACTTATTATTGTGTTTCATCCGCTGATGAATTAATTAACTGGATAGGCGGACCATGAGCGCATGATTCTTCCTCTTCTGATGATCCAGGATTCTCGGAATCTCTGATTTCTTGAACATCTAGGGTAATGAAGGGGTTCGTTTACAATAAAACGGTTTGGACGGATTTGGCTGAACAATGAACGGTTTAACAATGGGAGACTGGACAATGGAAGGACTTGCGTTTGGAACGATGCTGATATCTATGGCCTCTGTATTCGTTTTATGTGCTTGGCTCTGATTAGAAAATGGGGCGGAAACTCGTGGTGGGTCACAGGAAGGAATTGGAAGGAATTGTCCGGATGGATATAAGCTTGTAGATCATATACGTGATTTTCGTCAAGGCGGTGGTACAGCTCTATTGTTCAGGGACTCGCTGACTGTCAAGAAAGTGGGTGGTGGTGCTAAAATGTCATTTGAGTTTTCAGAGTTGACCGTCCAGCTAGCTTCTTCCTACGGTCTTCGTTTGGTTGTAGTCTATCGACCACAGTCTGACTCTGATGATCACAGGATCCCCATGACCACGTTTTTCAACGATTTTACTGACTAACTAGAAATGTTTATTCTCTGTAAAGAACAGCTGGTGATCGTCGGTGATTTCAATATCCATGTAGATGTGCTTAGCAATAATGACTCAATCAAATTTCGAGATCTGCTGGAATCTTTCTGCCTACAACAGCATGTGGTAGGTCCAACCTGTATTCATAGTCACACCCTGGACCTTATCATCACCCGCCAGTCCGACCAGAATGTAAGATCCACACCTCAAGTCGACTGCTATTTCTCTGATCATGCACCAGTGCTGTGTCATCTTCATTCAATGAAGACTTCTTTCTCCAGCAGGACTCTCTCGTATATGTAAGTCTGAGCTATGTAAAAATCCACCGGACGACCTCGAGGAACTTCTTTTGTCCTATAACAAAACCCTAATAGCTGTGCTGGACAAAAATGCCCCTGTTAAGCCTCGAACGATTGTTATGCGTCTGCTAGTTCCATTGTACACAGACGAAATCAGACAAGCCTAGAGAGAGCGACGGAAAGCTGAAAGAAGATGGAGATTGTCGAAACTTGACTCCGACTTGGCTGTCTTCAAAGTTAAGCGCAATGCTGTCAACAATCTTATGAACAAGGCACGACAGGCGTTTTACACTAAGCTTATCGAGGATAACAGCTGTAATCAGCGAAAGTTGTTTCGTGCTAGTAAAAGCCTGTTTAATCAGTCGCAGGGCGATGAGTTACCTCCGAATCTGCACGCCCCCACTTTTGCAAGCGAAGTTGGAAAGTATTTTGTGTCAAAGATTGATACAATCCAGAGACAAATCGATGCTGATATTACAGATTTACTTGCCTCTGCATTCACTACTGCTGATGGCTTCAATCGATCGACTCCATCGTTATCTGCATTCAAGATCCTGCCTGCCAACAGTGTTAAGTCGCTTATCCATAACTCAACATTGAAGTCTTGCCCGCTCGACCCAATGCCCTCTCGCTTGGTCAGCAGATGTGATGCTCTTCGCCCAGTCATTACTACGATCATTGACAAATCATTAGAAGCCGAACACTTTCCCAAGTCCTGGAAGGAGGCACTAGTATGTCCGTTACTCAAAAAACCTGATCTTCATATCACATTCAAGAATTTCAGACCAGTAAGCAATTTGGCTTTCTTATCGAAGCTCATTGAGAAAGCAGTCTTCCATCAGATGCAGAGCACATGGTCGACACGAATCTATACCCGAACGTTCAGTCAGCTTACAGGGTGCATCATAGCACTGAGACTGCTCCTCTGAAGAGTTACATCCTGCTCAATATCAATAAACAACATGTAACCCCGATCTTAGTGCTGCTTTCGATACAGTCGAGCATAAAATCTTTCTGGAGGCACTCAATACGCTTGGACTTGGGGGCAGGGTGTCCAAGTGCTTCCGATCGTATTTATCAGGGCGTAGTAAGAGCATATTAGTTCGTGGTTGTCTGTCAAAGTTTGATTTGAACTGCGAGGTGCCCCAAGGCTCCTGTTTAGGACCGCTCTTATTATGAGAATTTATGTGGAGATATTGTTATTTCTCTCCGAAAGCCGCTGCGAGGGTAAAGAGCCCGAGTCCCGCTAAAGAACACTGAAGAAGTCATAATTTTCGGAGTATGTTTGTGGCACTAATCTAGTGAACAATGATTTATGTTCTAAAAAGAACTTTCGTACTCATTCAACAAATTCATAGATAAAAAGACTATTCCCCATATCTGACAAAATTTCGTCAACATTTTTTTTTTTTTTTTTTGTGAGTAAATTTTCTGACAGCATTACGTTTCCAAAATTCTGTACTTCTTCCCGATTTGGCGGTATCAGGTTAATGGAAATTCAAGATCAGTCTCTTGCTAGAAGGATAAGCTTTTAGCGTGTGTTGTTTTTAGTGAACATCATCCTTCTGTTGCTAATAAATTTGCAGGAGATTGAATGTCATGCGAATTCTTGACGTCTTGTCTTCGGTTAAATTGTGCTTAAAACAAGCATGGCGAAATAATCCATTAACATCGAAAGAAACTGTTTCATTTCTTAACTATTTTAATAGAATAGAGTGCGATCCACAATCATACAGCGAGAAAAATAAATTGAATAAAATAGTTGTGATATCCCCGAGTTCCAGAAAGTAACTATTTAGCAGCAATTATGACAAAAAAAAAACTATTCCGCTGTGACAATAATTATGAGCGATGGTGATGAAAACTTTTCGTGCTCCTCGATATATGTCTGTGCTTGTATCTTGCTGGAGTAATATATCCTTAAAGAATCGCTACACAGCTGTGATATCTCAACCATCCTCTTTTTTCTCATAACGAGATGATACAAAATAGGTGGGCGTAGCTGGGTCTCACAAGGTACCCCCCCTCCCCCCTTTTGAAAGGAGGGGGCAAGCGGGGGTGTCGTCGTTACGAATATCTGGCGCACGCCCTACGTAAAGTGGCGTTAATTTATATCTAACGAGCTTTTAATTATACGTTGGAAGGGATTATTTAACATTTCAGAATATTTTATGTCATGCACCTCTTTAGAATTCACGCCATAAACACTCACTCAAGAGGGTAGTTGGACTTCTCGGGCGTCTTTGAATCTCTCCCTGAGGAGATGGGGTTATGGGAGTGAGAGCGGATGGGAGGTAGTTAAGATAGATTCAAAACCCTTCCCCTCTCTTCCACCCTGTAAGGATTTTAGAGAACAGGGCTAATAAAAATTTGCAGCTCTGCTTGCGTTATACAGTGTTACTCTAAGCACTGATCAAAACTCAGTGAGATTCTTCCATGGGAAAGTAGAAGATTGTTACACTGCTTTTTAATACAACGATTTTAATCCAAACTGATCAAAATTCACTTTCTGACTCGAAAGGGTACAATGTGCCTCGTTATGCGAACAAATATACCAGATTACTAAAAGATATCATTCATCCACTCGTTTTCAATTATTTATTAATTGATCTGTTGATTTAATTCATTTATTAATTATAAATCTTAAAACTCGACTTTTACTTCTGCTATCACAAAAGAACGATCGTATTTGGTATTTTCACAAGCAGCTTAGTATTACCTTGTGTACTCAAAATGTGGGTCGTTATTAAATATTAGTCAACAGTGGTTTAAAGGGAATACAGTAAAATGTGTATTAGTGTTAAACAAGTGAGACTTGAATGTACGATACGATTTTAGACAATCGACTCTCATTTTCGTTCTTTTGAATCCAGTTATTTACGCTGATTATTATTCCAACTCATATTAAGACTACTATTTATCTGCCCACACATCACCGACATCACTGAGATTAACCCGTGAGCTTTTCCTTTTGGAGTTTTCGTTTTTTAAAGATGGGAGAACGTTATCACCAAAAGTCGTTTAAATTGGATCACTGAATATTGTATTGTGCTATTCTTTGAAGGACTGCAATTTTACTGCACACACTTCGCCGGCATCAATTGGATTAACTTGTGAGTTCTTCTTCGCAGAGTTTCCATGATCTGCAGCAGATGGGAAAATGATGTTCATCTTCCTTTTCAATCGCTCTCTAATCTGCAGATAAACAGGCGACCAAATATCAATTGCTAACCCACCAACTTTTTATTGGTGTCTAGAAAATTCACAATTCGCCCTATGTACATCCTCAGTTTGATATTCATCTCACCTGGCTGTTCCGCACACAATGAAGAAGGAAAATCAGGATTCCCTGAAACAGATAATTATATCAGTATAACATCTCTTGTAATCCAGATAAGAAAGATGATAAAGATATGATCGTTTCATTGAGATGTAACCAGAATAAAAGTGGCGAAAGAATGAATTAGAGCAAGTCGCATATCTTGTAAACCAATAAAGATTGTCTGCTGTTGGGTAAATTATTTTGAATAGGCAATATCATCTGACCAATGTCAAAGAGTCTTTTTTTAGGTAAAAGAGTACTTTGAGCATTTAAGTATGTGAACAGATGACTACAATTTAATATCGACTGATTTTTTTTACCGAAAGCTTACCTGAATAGAGTTGAAAATGGTGAAAATGTAGGCGAAAGCTTTGTGTAATGATAACAAAAGTCCAAAAAGCCAGGTAACACCAAGCAGTGGGATCATCACCGCGCATGTTTTAATGCCAAGTCTGAATAACGACAACAATATGTGATGAGTATCGATAAACCGTTCCTTTCATTCAAGTGAATGAACTTTTTTTTTCAAAGTTGTATTGCCTCATCGTCGCAGACTAACTAGAGTGGAATCTAGACAAATACTGCTAAACTAAATGCGACAACAATATGATCACATTACCAGAGGAGCCTGTGTAGAAACTAGTTATTATTTACCTTTCCCCTCCAAATTTTATGAAGTTTATCACAATTATCTAATAAATGTTAAATTTATCTATTATTTACCGTATTTGCTGTGTATTGTTGTTTTCCCCCGTGGGTTGCATTAATTTGCTCATCTCCTTTATTACTCGGACAAGTATCAAAATGTTGAGCTGAAAAAAGCAAGGAATATAAAATGCATCACCGACAACAGAAAAATTGTCATTCGTCTCGTTGCGAGCGTTTGAAAAAAGAAAAGTCTGAATCTTCATTAAAAATTAAACCCTCTGCGTCCAGCTAGCCAACGCACTACTGCGTCTCTGTAATGGGCGACAGAGAACCCTGTGCTGCGCCACGCTATTACTTGGTTCATACGCAGGCCAAGAGGGATCGAAGTTGGAAAGACGCAAGGTAATATCAATTGGAGTTGATATTCTTTTGAAAGACGATAGTCGTTTAGTAATGAAAATCTCTAACAATATTAATGAGGCGTCAATTAATCAGAGACTCACAACTTCAATGAAAGCTACAAATGTGACGAAGATCCAGATCAGGTTATTTGTTGAGGAAAGCCAGCAACTGGAAACGAGTGTATAAAAAATATTAATTTACAGAAAATAATCTTCACAGCACGACACAATCAAACACAACAACACGATAAAACAAGACAACTCTCAGAGAAAACAAATGGAGTGATGATGGAAAACTAGAAAGAGATCTTAACAGCAGCAATGCGTCGTGAAATGCTGATTATTTAAATGAAAAGAGAGAGAGAGGGAGAGAGAGAGAGAGGAAAGAGGAAGAAGAGAGAAGGAACTGCAGTTGTATTATTGACTTTTTCTCATACTATTTTTCACTGGTATAGCTTTTAATTCCATCTTTTCCAGCGGCGATGCCTATTGAAATGCTAACAATGATGATGGGTAAACCTAAACATAAGAAGAAGAAAGTTAGCGCAACTGGAGAGGTCACGCGTCCAATTTTGAGGCGTTTCCGATTCAGCAGCTTATAATAATCTAAATCAAGTGAAATAAAAATACCCCATGATATGAAGTGATACATATGCATCTTGGTGTTGATGTTATAAACTTTCACGACAAACAGGAAGAAATAAATTCCTTCCACCAGCATCCAACAGAAAGCTGCCATCAGGAAATACTGCAAGAAAGCTGCTGCTAGGACGCAGAGAGCCTGCGAGAGAAAAAAAAAGCTTTTGTGGCTTTTTCATATTAATTTCTAGAGAATCTTTTAAGCCCCTAAAAAGCAAACAAACCATAAACAGATAAATACAACACTCACCGTATTTTCTGTAGCGTTTATGCCGGTGAGAAAGATTATTTGTCCAGCTCCAAGGGACACAGAAAGACTCAGTCGTATTTGAGTCAAAGGTTGCCATACGTCTCTAGTGAAACAAGCAAGCAATAAAAAAAACTAACAAACAAACAGAAAAAAACCAAAGGCGAGACAGAAACAAAAACAAAACGAAGCAATATCTGACAAGGTATTCCACTAATTTTGTATTGTTCTAGTTTAGAAATCTTACCCGCCTTCGCGCATAAATTTTATAAATCTCTATTACATTTTGATCATCTTTATTTGTTATTACTGTTATTTGTTCAATACACATTTTAATTAAATCGATTTTTTTTAAAGAACTTGTCTGTTCTAAGCCCTAAAGCCTTTAAGTTCATGCAAAGACTTAGTTCTTTGAGCGTATGGTTACAGTACTTACGTGAGGTAGGAATATAGAATAATTGTCAAAAGAATCGCGAAGATGGAAAGACTCAGTCCCACGTAGGTGATAATTTCCAAAATAGTTTCGTCTTCCTCTGTGAGCTGTAAAGAGAGATGAGGAGACAGCAATTTTTTTACCTTATCCAACGAAATTCTTTTACCAATGCTAAAGGTAAGAGAGAATTAACTCATTACCCCTGGGCTACCGTTGTAGTCAAGTAAGACAGCAAAATGAGTCAAATGATTGCAGCTGCAAACTGTTTCTTCTGAGTTGCTTTTCGAAGTAACTAAGTAACATCCAGTCTCTGAAAATCCGCCTGAGCTGAAAAGAATTAAATAATAAATAATAATAATAATAATGATCAAAAGAAAAATTTAAAAAAAAAACTTATTGGGGTACCGATAGGTTTAATTTCTCTCTTACTTTCACCGAGTTCATAACCTCTACACATCGTTGAGTACTTTCGAATTTGGCTTTTGTCGACATCTTCTCCCTGTCACTAATGGATTTGCCTTTGAGTGATCACTGTCAACACTGTTAATCTGAGGCAAGTGGTATGCTGATGATATTAATATTCGGGCTTGGCACAATTCTATATATGACTTGTCAAACTTCAATACACCCTAACTTAGGTGAAAAAGCAAACAAGGAAACAAGCAAGGCAAGAAACACAGAAACAAACAAACAGACAATGCAGACAAACAAATCAATAAAACCTATAATTACAATAAATGGAAGGAATCTTAAAGCAATGAATATCTAGATATAGCTATGGAAAAAGAAAAAAGAAAAACAGCAGTTACAAAACCTCCCAAGAAAAAAATAACATTCAACAAATCAATGCTTTCATTTAAAGAACAAACAGATTGACCTTGAAAGGCCTTTTTAGAACGTGGGGAAAGTTTCAATGTCTCATCAAAGTCGAGTGAGAAATTATTGACAGCTAATAATAAACCTAGAAAAACACCCATTTAAGTATAATATTCATTACATTTTTTTCATAATTTAAGAATGAAGAATCCGCTATTCCTAGAATAGGACGAAAAATATATTCTAGCTGTTACCTTTCACTTGAGCCACTCCAAAACATGCATTTCTTCGCTCCTTCACGAGTCTGTACTCGGAATATAAACATTAAAATCATATACTCGGAATAAATATCACAACGCAAAACAATTGATACTAATTTTGATCGTGTTCTTACTTTCAGATTTCTGAACCTTAAGATGACATTCTCTTTTAACTTTTCTGGTTTTGGATCTAAAGCCACGGCAGTTATCCAGGAGTCCAAATACCTTCAGAGGAAATAGAAAATCAGTATGAAACAGATTTATTTAAAGCATAGTAATTATTTTAATGAAAATAGCAAGCTAGGAGCCTATACAAACCAGTGTTACTTAAAGGCTAATTTATCAAACACGGAAAAGATCATTGATTCATATGACTAATTATTTCTCAACAGGGTTTTGAAAAATTTACGACCTTATAGGTTCAACCCCTGGAGTTTCTTTTTTTGTGTATTTTCGATGGAAGGGGCATTTGGTTAAGAAACTGTAGGAGGTAACCTCACCTTGTGGCGCCCGTTATAGTTCTAAAGGGTTGATCTGTAATTAATACGTCATGGAGATCCTTGTACACGATCCCAACAACGACTGATTCTGAAAAAGTAAAAAAAAAAAAAACTTGTATGCATTTGTAGATCTATTTAAAAACAGCAAAAAACTTGAAGAGGAATGAATAATTGTGCTTTGTCATAGCACATGAAAGATTTAAAAACTGAAGTCAATACAAACCGTTGTTGGCAAAGTTTTTAGAGGAAACCTCCAGGCTCGTTTGCAGCTCTTGTTTTTCAAGACAAAAGTCACTAGCATTTTTTCGGTAGGTTTTTTGTATAGCCAACACTGATGGACAAAAAAATAAAGACGAAATTAAGATTAACACATTTTCCAAGAAATATTTTTCGTGTTGGACCGAAAGCAAGTCATAATCCAAATATGATAATTATACTTGTTTGAAAGCTACGTATTCCTTACATAATCTTCTAAAAAGTACAATCCTCTATAGATCATCAAGACATCGGAAAGTTGAGGTTTTAGCGCTTTTCGACATTCTAATCGCCGAAAAAAAAAATGTCCATAGTCACTGTGATTGATAAAAATAAATGGTCAATGAGAGGGATGAGCCGGCTTAAATCTGGCTACAGCACTGATCAGCAGGTCCCTTGTAAAAAAGTTAAATCATCAAATCAGCCATTAGCTCATTGGTCATTGTGTCAGTCGGTAAACAAGTAATGGATTACTTCAAATCGGCACTAATGATCATGCGCTGACTCACCCAGTTTTCGGCTGTTTATCTCCACTGAAGAATTCGCTCCAATCATTTGGTGTTTGCCATAATCAAGTGCGAATACCTCCAAGGCGACTGCCACTTTAAAGACGGAATTTCTTATTATTTCGATTTCTTCTTTGGTAAAAGGTTTTTTGAGGTTTTGGGTACTGGTGATGAAGTCTTCAAAAATCCCTAAAGCTTCCTGAATAACATAACATATTTCTGTTAAAGTAAAATGCTAAAAATTGGGATCCGTGAGACTCAAACAAGATATCTGAGTTTCCCATGAGTATCGAGCGGCAGAACCCCTGATCGCGGTCGAACATTTTAACAAAACATTTTGTGATAAAGGTCACGCATTAATTATACAAGCAAGGCCTATATTTCGTCTACTTCTAGTTAGGTTACATAAAAAATTGGTAAAGAAACGAATAAAAGCCAAAAATGGATGAAAGAACAAAAATCCTGCAAGATAGCCAAATGGTGTGTAAGATGTGCACAATTTAAGGAATCAATTGTTTCACCCATGTCAGTTCATATCTCAGTAATGATAATAATTACGTTAACGAGAGTGATAACGATAATGCTGTAATAATTATAATAATGATAATGAGGACAATGGCGATAATGATACGGTCTTGTTTGCTCTTTTTCGAACTAGAAGTTTTCTTCAAGCTTAGAAACTGTTGCATTGCATCGGTCAGTCTCTCTGATCATTGCGCATTTCATATAGACTAAGTGGATTAATCATATAAGATAAGCAAGAAGTAAGTTCATACCATCAAGGACAAGATTCTACTGATTGCTCCTCCTTTTAGTTTGGAAACAGAATCGTTTGCCTGAGATAAAGAAAGACAATAAAGTTGGCGAGCAACAATGTTGTACATAAAAAACTTGAGAGAAATACTTTGCTTACCAGATTTCTAATAACTTCCAACGTCGATGACAGAGGTGTCCCTAGAGATGGAGACGATGATGATCCTGCTGCCGATGTTTCCGATGGTGATGACAATAATGATGAAGATACTGATGCCCTCGCTGGTATCACTGCTGCTGATGGTGAGTGTGACGAAGGTGATGGTAACGGTAAGATTAATGCCAAGGGTGACTGCGACATTGATTGCAACCGAGCTGAATGTTGAAAAATATTTAATTCTTAAAATAAAATTGACGCTATGGTGAGGCGCGACGAATTTTCAAAGAAAATATTTTATGTTTCTTTGTTAGAATCTTAAACACTTCTTCGTTAAACAAAAATAGAATATTTTAAGTATTCTATGTATTATTATACTCACTGTAAGTTTCCATTCCATGTCCTGTTGAAATTTTAGTTGCAAATACTCGAATTGTTGAAGCCCCAATAGATGTAACGATATTCGACTTGTATGAATCTGAAGTGATGGAGTGACCGTCACACGTCTGTGTACAATCTTTAGCGTTAAAATGCGTATTGCACTCCCGTACTTTGTCTGTGCAGCTTTGTGTTTTACATCTTCTCCCGCTGCAGGTCAGGTTGCATACCTCGGCATCGCATATTTGCTCACAATCCGGGTTGTTACATTCTAGATGCATTTCACATACATGTCCTTCACCAAGGCACTTTTGTATTTTACAGTTTTCCCCGCTACAGTTCAGATTACATTCTTTAGCCTCGCAAGTTTGTTCACATTCCTGGTTGTTACATTCTAAATGCATTTCACAAGTATTCCGTTTACCTTGACACTTCTGTACTTTACAGTTTTCCCCTCTGCAGTTCAGATTACAGTTTTCAGCGTTGCATTCTTGGTTACAATCCTTACCTTCACATTCCAGATCCATTTTACACTCCTTTACTTTACTTATGCACGTTTGTTTACACCCTCTCCCCTTGCACTTCATATCACAGCAATAATTATCACTGCTGCAATTCCCGTGCGAATTACAATGTCCGCTTCCATCATCACTTTCCGACTTACAATTAACCTGATCGCAATCCCCATAGCCCAAGGCAAAACCTGAAACGACAAAAACAAGAACAGAACCAAAAATATGAGAATACTAAATATGAAAATAATGATGAAGATAGTTGTGAAAAATACAAGACCTTCGTTGCGTAAATAAACAACTTTATACCACTGTTGCATAAAACTGCTGAGTATAATTTTCATGGAAACTACCATTACAGCAGAGTGATTGCATGTACCATTTCGTTCAAACCGAGTCTTCAATACCGCGAAGCTGACAGAGGTTTCGAATATACAAGTTAATACAAAGCGATTTCTTTAAAAACTAACAGCCTTTTATGTAACTTTCTATATAGGTGAGATATATCTCAGTATTTTATCCTCTTTTGTATCATTAACGCCGTTTATTTATATATTATTTATCCATGTTTTTTTTAAACTAATTTTTGTTTACATAATTGTTAATTTTTTCCTACGTTCTGCAGCTTAGGAATTGAGAAATACATAAAGGCATCCGTGGTTGTAAAGAATGTTTCTGCATAACGATGTTGGCTTCTCAGATATTGTTTACAGATTAATGGTAAATTAAATACCTAGGAAAAACTGACTCATATGAAAATTGCCAAGGAGAAAACAAGACTTGAAAGACTTGAAATGGTATTGTTAAGCTGCAAAGCTCGGTAGTTTGTAAGGGGTGAGAGACGACCTAAATTTCAACTTTCTATTTAGTCATTACAGAATTTGCATATCTTTAAATTGGAAAAAAAAAACCAGGCTTAAAATATCCCATCGCTGTTTGCATGTTTGCGCAAAAGCTTCACTTTTTCATGATAGACCCATGGGTTAGAACAGGCTTTAAGCCTGTATCTCAATAATACATAGGTAAAATGGCTCCCTGAAATACATCCCGTAAAATATTTCGTCTTGGCTTCCTGAGTAAAAGCCTATGTAGCCTTTAAGGATCGTCTAATCTAAAACTAATCTGAGCTTTGGTGGTATTTGAAGACTTTTCAAAGGGCAGCCATAAGATGGACTCCTCGAAGTGCGCTTAGGATGCATTCTAGATGAAATAAATCTTTTAAAAGGAGCTTTAGTACCCACTTGACATAGTTATTGATAACAGGAGTGTTCCCCGCAACTGGCAGCTTCTCGTCATTATTATTTTTCCGTTGGGTGAATTTAGTTCTTGTAAGCTGAACCAAATGCAACCTTCTGGAAAATTGTCAGTGGCTGGAGATCGGTCCGAAATATCCTTTACCAATATAAATTCAAAGCTTGTGATAATTCTCCTTTTAGCAAGAACCAGCCGTCTCCTCAGTGCTGACATACACCACGGGAAATGGATTGTCATGTAAATTATTTTCGTCGGGTATTTCTACCGAAATTTAGTCGCAATAAGCCTTTTTACTTCGGTTAAAAAAATATAACAGAAATGAAACAAACTTTCAAGCAAATGCTTCATTCGAATTTTAAAGCTTTTTCAATAGTTTAGCATGGGATACACAATACTTGGCAAAAACAGTGCACTTTTTAATAATATAGCCTTAAGATATCAACTTATGGTGACGGGTTTTATCCATTTTAATGTTACTGAAAATTACTGACAGTTGCCACTCTTTGTTTATTTAACCCCTCTACGCCGAATTAGGTTTTTTAAGAACGCTAGGAGTTGCTTCGAAACAATTGCACCTCCACTAGTAATATGTCGATCATAAATATATATTTTTTTGTTCGCTTTTTCTAACGGTACTCGCTAAATAGTGCAGAGCCGTAGATCTCACCTGCACGTGCCACGCACTGGAAAGTGTTATTGACAAAATATGTGACGTTTTACGTTTCTTGGAACAATAAATGGAGATAATAGCTCACCAAA